GTAATTTAATTATTCAGTATTCCCAATTAACAAATAAACGAAGTCATATGGGTTTGCCATTGTGAGGGGAGGTACCTTCCTTGCTGGAATCCTGAGCCGCCAACCTGCCGAGAACCAAACGAATCCGTAGAAGCGCGAGTTCGTATCTGTTATCGGTGACTTCCGACGGGAGTGGGAGCTGGACGATGATGACCAGTGGGCGAAGTCTATAGCACTCGACAGACAACTTGAAACGGAAGGGCGTGGTACCGGCGAGAAGGACATGACAAAGACGGAAGACCACAGTTAGCCGTGAAGGAACCTAGCTGGTCTTGCCCTGGCGACACTAAGTACTTACTTGTTACATCTACCTGAAACATCCTCTAGGGATCTTGACTAGGAGGTCAATGACACGGCAACGAAAAGACGATCCCAATCACACGACAGGAAGGCATGATGATGTCGTTGCCCCATGCGAGGAGAAAATATACCTGCTTGTCCACCCCCAGCAAGATGAAAGCTCAGAATCCGCGAAGGGACGAAATTCTAATACTTTTGTCCGACAGGACAGACAAAATCATTCCTGCGCGAAAAAGCAACCGAACGCCATAATTCGGAAGCAGAAACACCAGTATAAACAACTGAAAGTTTTCCATGACCTATCAATAGAACAAAATGAAGCTGACAGAGAGGCCTAAGCTTTAATAGGTTTGATAGTAATAGATACTATCAACCTGATTTCCTCGTTTATGAGCTTGCAATACGCACTTTCAAAGTATACCAGAGCACCGTATCAGTCCGTTGTATGAACATTTTCACGAAGCGAGCAAAGAAATGCGCACGTGCTTAACACTAATTTATAGTGAAATAAAGGCAGCTATTTTTTTTATTGGATTCTGTTTAATGAAAGTTTTACTGCAGTATCTGCTTGCAAGGTGTTGCAAAACTTGGCCGGTTTTATTTGTTTCATAATGTAAAGCTTCGTATCTCTCCTGGTAAATAGCGTCGCGATTTGCCCCAGCTCAACGTCACTTCAGCAAATAAAAATATGAATTGTGCGGCAGCTCACTTTATCGAGATTTGGTCTTTGAACCTGCTTGATATAGCCGTTTGCATGCCATATTTTAAAATAGTGCGACGAATGCTATTAATGGCGACACAATCTACATGCACCAACTGTAAAAGTGTTACAGAATTGAGCCTAATTTAACCTCCACTGCTCCACTGCATGGCCTTCGTAATATGATATCCTGGGTGATATACCTTACTGTTTACTGGGGGTGGACCCCTTAGAACCGTCCCCATACCTTCAGACGTTTGCACCAATTATTACTTTTTGTGGTGCGTGCAAACTTGCAAAGTGCATGCAAAGTGTGAATATTACTTGACAGTAGTTTTTAATTACTTTGTTATTTTTAACTCCAACCCATACACAAAGTGCATTCAAGCGTTCGATACACATAGTCCTGGATGCACACTTTGCAGCACCCTCTCGGCTATAAAACGCGTTCCCCTCGCAATGATATTTTATCTTTTCAAACTTTCTTTTTGTCTCAGAGCAGGCACCGGGGGGGGACGTAAATGTTACCCGTAACATTTCAAACATACCGAAACACCGGCACCCATCTTCATATCATTGTGTTATGAATTTCCTGTTCTCTTAACGCGTGTAAGTCGTGAAGTGGGACTCCCGGGTCACAATTGAGGGTACGCTACCTCCCGTTATACATACCCAGCTCGTAGGGCCTGCCATGAGCAAACAGACGGCCCGCAGTCAGTTTATGGCTGACACTATAGGGGCATGAAAGCACACAATCTTCCCCATATGTAAAAGGGCAAAAACTCTAAGATGTTTAACCATCAGATTCTGATATGCATAAATTCAAATTATGATCTGCATTTACATAATTATTGTTGCTCGTTTCTTTCCTCTTGGTTTTTTTTTTTGGGGGGGGGTGGCAGGAGTAAAGGAGAACTCTGCACAAAATACAGATTTGGAAACTTCAGTTTCTGCGACGTTGTTGTTTAATGTCGCCTTTCATGATTAATCTGTTTACATATAGGGATATGTTTGATACTTTGAAGATTGACAGAAATTTATGAAACGGACACGATGAGCTCCTGAAAAGAAATCGAAATTTCATTGTCCTTGGTTTTGAATGCCAAAAGTACGAAATAAAATGCACGGAAATGAGAAGGAATGTAAGAATCTCATGTAACTAACCCTTGACCCAAACCGCCTGCTAAATTGAATGATCAATCAAATTGAATAACATAACTTCAACTTGGAATGTATCAAACATAAAAATGCCTTTTTCTGAAAATGACATTGAATGCCTAAAATCTAATTTGAACCACTGGAATGACAGCAGTGAGTAAATCCGCTTTAAATTGGCCAGTATCAGCATGAATTTGGATGCTGTTTGCGCGAATTTGGCCGGGAAAACCTATATTAGTTCACAGAAATGAGCTGCACAAGCAAAACCTTGGGGTCAACGTGCAAAGGTATATGTCTAACTGTCAACAAAAGGGCCTACAGCGTCCCACCATCAGCTGTCAATGCCACCTTTGCCGTCGCTGGACTTTGTTTTACTGTGGACTAACGATGTGTATCGGATTGGGTTGACTGGGCCAGATCGACTGGAAACGCTACAGAAATAATCCGAATCCGAACCGACACCTATCTGAACTCTTCAAACCGACCCCATCCGCCCTGACCAGAAATCAGGGACAAACCGACCCGAACCGACAAAAACGTAACCGAACCCGAAACAATTCGAATGTCTGGTTTGGGCTAATAGCATCCTTTATTTTATACAAATTGTATCTGTTTTGTGCCTGAACTTATGCCAGTATTGTATGAATATATGTATGAATATACTTGTCAGACGTAGTCGTACTGTCCAATGTCCTAACGAGGTGACCTGCGCTATAAAGTTCCTGCATGTCTGCAAACCATGCACATTGGTCGGTATTCCAATTGCGCTATTGCGCATTTTAGGAGATTTCATCGTATGCGTGTTTGAGAATCGCGGGTACCATGAAAGAGATAACTGTGTTCTGTAATGACCGTTTCAAAAAGTATTTTCAGATGTTTTGTTCATTTAAACTTGTGTTTGAACAAGATTTGTAATCGTCTTTTCGATTGTACAAAACAAGATATATACCGGTACACAGTATGCCGCATCGGTTACTACAGTCCCGTACATCACTTTATCAATATTTCCCGAAAGAAAAATCGTCCAATCTTGTGGAAAAAGCGTAGTTGCGCGTTAACTTCCTTTTCTTGGTCAATTGTGACCCAGAAAGGGTCACATATGACCCAGAAAGGGTCAAATGTGACCCAGAAAGGGTCAAATATGATCCGAAAGGGGGTCATATTTTGACCGAGGAAAAGGTCACGCCGAATGGGACCCCATTCTGGGTCAACCTGACCCGGCAGTTTTTAGAGTGTATAGGTTCTAAGCGCAGAAACACGGCCAAATCTTGTGGTGGCCATTTTAAACTTGGCCTAAAACATTTATATATAATTTATCACAAATCTCAGATGATTCCAAACGCAGAACTGGCATTAATTTATTGCACTCTTATTTCGTTGCTGTTAACCTCACTTTCAATTCAAGTTGGCCGGCACATGCATACAGTCTATTAGCATTAATAAGGTTGTACAGGCCAGTAAATAGGTCTAAAATTGCCTGTGCAGACCGAATCACGACTTGTAGCTGTCAAATTCTCTGCTATTAGTGCATTTCATGGCACGTGAACTAGGTGATTTGTTCAGAAGGAAAAAAATGGAAATTAGGAGCATGAAAATAATCTGACAGAGGGGCTTTAATGGTAACAAAGTTATGCAGGATTTGCGTATACAACGTTTGTGAATTTTAACGAAAAAATTACTACAGAAATTATTCTACAACTGTGAGCGGAGGTTGTGCATAAAATTTGTTTTGATGTCGATGGAAAGATGCACTGACTAGGCACGTCCGAGTATCCAACTTTACCGGTGTCCTCTTCACATCTCGCAACTGTGCTTTTATAGAACGCCAAATGTACCAAAATATGATGTTAATTTGTGAAAGTAGTTTGATCTAGGAAAATGTTGCTGAATATGACCTATTCAAATCAAGTGTTTGAAGCTTAGGCAATCGACGATACTGGTCAGTCAATCTGAAATGAAGGCTGCTGTCTGCTAGACAGTTGATAACCCGTACTGGGGGAGACGTCAATTTTCTGTTGTATCTTTAGGCGACAAAGCAGCTTCGCCATAGACGACAAGATCAGTACGGATAATGTTCGTCACTATATTGCACCCGCAGGAAATCCCCCCCCCAACTTAAGTATGAGGTTACCAAGTGTCTTCAATGGTAGACTGCTAGGGCTTTGTAGCAGGGGCTCAGGTCATTAGTTCATTTTTCTTTTAAATGAATGTCAACGGTAACTTGTATCTGCAAATCATCAATGATGAGGTTGTCTCGCTCCTAGAGGAGCACTTTGAGCGACAGGTTCATGGCGGCTGCAGACAGATCTAGTGGGTACAACACGATGACCCAGCACACCACCTTACCGCTGTGCGATATCTCTGATGGAACTGCTTGGGGTTTATCGCCTTCAACCTTTGAATGAGCGCTACGATCATCTGACCTTTTCCGTCATTAACAACTTCCTTACCTGCAGCATTTCAACATTTATGTTTGGGCGTCGAAAGTCCATCATGACTTTCAGAGCCTTTCAAAGGTTTTCACAAGGTGAAAATGTGACTTTGGCTGGTGTGTTCCTTAGACCATGGAGCTATTAATTAAACACATTATAGCTCCGTCCTAAGATCCAACCCGTTGTTTAGCATCAATCTGTCGAGAATGACAATGGAAGGTCAAAGTTCCGCCACTTCAGTAGTCATACTGCAGGCAGGGAAATACTTCTGGCAACCTGGGACAGTTGTCGGAATAGTCAGTTCGTATCGACGCGCGAAGCACGGTGGAATCGTTACCTCAGAGGTAGACTGAACATAAGGATGGCGGAATCCATCGTAGTAGAGGTAGTTAGCCTCTTCGCGGCCGCCCTTGTGGTCGGGTTCCTAGCGTTTGTAGCTTACGTTGCCTTCATACATCACAAATACTCCCATATTCCGGGTCCACCGCTGAGCAAGTAAGTATATCATATATTATTTGCTCTCTGAAAAAGAGAATTTCCGAATTTTATCCTGTTGCATGAATTCAGTGCGGAAACAGTACATAGATGCGGCATGTTATACCCAAAAGACCCAAAGGGGCACGATTGATTCATTTATAACTGGACTGTGTACAAATCTGAGTACGTCTGCGCGTGAAAGGGGCGCATATGGGCAGATTGTAGGCTGTTTGAGAAGTGCAAGCGTATATGCTTTATCACTCGATTTTCACCGAGCACTTGATACACACTGCTTACAGCCAGGACTTTGGATTAAGTCGACGAATTCTGGATGTGTTCAGACAATTTGAGAAATTGAGGTGTTCAGGTCAGATTCATCAACTGTGAATGACGTCAGTAGTGATGAGAGCTACCGCATTTCTGAGTGTTTCTTCATGATTTTTAAACAAATCTGTTTATTGTACTTCTAAGAAATAGCAAGCCACGGTATCTCGGAATTAGGGGTCTAATTTTCACACTGGAAGACTACAGTCTTTCTACAGATACTGATGCGTAATTTTGGAAAAAGAACCACAATACAAACGCAATAATCAGTTTCCATTGGTCTTAAAGACAAGTGGCATCTCGCCATGTTAAAGTAAAACCCAGGATATTCTAGATCCGGAAACCTTAACATGAACGTGTCTCCAAGCATTGTTACCTCCTATACCGAAGCTTTAAAATAATGGACAGAAAAAAGCTGGATTATCGGCTCTTCGTCAGGTCAACAATAAGGCCATCTTTTTGTCATTTATTGGTTTACAAACAAAGCATGAAATTCGGAAATTATCTAGGATCAAAGGGAAAATTACATGACTTATTTTTAACCCGAGACAAGTATAGTAAGCTAAAATTGACGGAGTTCTCGGCCTGCTGATTTTATCATTTTTTTTTGTTCTCCTCTTTTATTTTCGGTCAACTTAACATACCACGTCAGGGGAAATTGAATATTCCCCCCTCGATATAAACAATCCTGCGTTAGAAAAAACCGTAATGAGTGAAACTCAACAAATCGGAAGTTATAGACATTTTTGTGCTATTGCTGGTTCCATGTAGAATGTAGGAAAACAGTTGAGGGTACAGAGTCCAGCACAAATTTAGCTGTTCAAAGCCACTGTAATTCTTATCCCACCTGATTCAAAGACCGTTATGACCTACTTTAAGTGATATTTATCTAATCAAGCCCCCGTTTTCTTTATTTAAGTTCCCTCCAAACCTGCTCCATAAAATGTCAGGACAAAGTAAGCATTTATTTCCAGTTATCAACACTGACCCACTGCGTGGCTAATCTTTGAAATAGCAGTATGTTGGTGACTCTCTTACCGGATTCGGATATTGAAATTGAAATGCGGCTGCAAACAAAAATATATTCATTTAAAAGCCAAAACTACGAAGCTGTAGGGACATGCTTAACAACCGCAACAAACACTGACTGTTTCGGAGTTTGCTGTTTTAATCAAATCGTATTTTAAAAGCAGAATTTAAATATCTAAAAAATGAAAAAAATTAAATATTAAAAAATCAATATTAAAAAAGCTGATGACGTCATCATGACGTCATCGTTTGGCAATAAATCTTGCATCAGGGTCTTTGTTGGCTATCACTTTGGCAACGATCAAACATCTTGAAGTTACCAAAATTGTCGCCCGAACACGTGTACAAAGTCAATGGGCTATGAACTCGTGTGCAGAAACACTGTCATGTCAAGTGATCTGCACTTAAACTGAAATATTTTATGAAACATTACTTCATATTCGGACTTTTTGGCATATTTCAAATCAAATAACAGGCTAGAAAATACCCGATTTCTCTTTCGTTCTAAAAGTAATTTTGAGGACTACTCGTTCACTAGTATTTAGTAGAAAAACGTGTTTAAAACTTATGGGGCAAAATTAAATATTAAAAAATCAACATAAAATAAGGTGATGATGTCATCATGACGTCATAAATTAGGCTTTTATTTTGCATCATGGTCTTTGTCGGTTGTAACTATGAAGATCGCCAAGTAACCAAAATTGTGATTTGAAAACGTGTACAAAGTCAATAGGCTAAACTAAATATATAAAAATCAATAGCAAATAACTTGGTGACGTCATCACGACGTTATTATTTCAGTATCATTTTTGCCTTAAGGTCTGTGTTTGGCGTAACTTTGATTAGGATCAAAGATAGTCAAGTTACCAAAACGAAGCCTTGGAAACGTGTACAAAGTCGATTGGCTGAAATAAACATTAAAAAATTCAATGAGAATCACTTGTTGACGTCATCATGACGTCATTGTTCTTTGCACATTTTTGAACTAAGGTCCTTCAGTGATGTAAGTTTGATGACGATCCAAAGTTGCAAAAGGACCAAAGTCGATGGTAGAAGAAACGTGCACAAAACACATGGGCTTTTGGTCAGAAGAGGAAGAAGACGAGAGCGTATCTGTCTTTTTGCCAACAGAACAGAGGGCGTTTCGCATTCTTTTGTACATTTGAACAACTACGACATCATGACATCAAGTCATTTTTTTTACACTGGCTGCCTTTACAGGCAATACTCGGTCTACATGTATCGGAATTTTTTAATTTTTTACCAGAGACATCTTTTTTATTTCTCTCTTGTCGACACAAACTTAACAGCAATTAATACAGTAATAGAAGATTATAATACATGCACTTCAACTATTCGGATTAAACTGGACAAAGTGTAGAGTAATTTTGCCATTTCAACCAAAACTTTTGGCAGGCACCATTAACAGAAGCCAAATATTTTTCACAATGATAATATTTCTGGTTATCCTTTTCCAAAGCTTCTAATGAGGGGCGTTTGCTGTTCATTTTCATTTTATAAATGTGAAATCTGGCAACCAAAAGATAAGATTAAGGCATTTAAGTCTACTGTCAACAAATCCGAACAATGAAAATTGATTGTCTATTACAAGGTGTATCTTTATGTTGTCCTTAATCCAATGTACTATTGAGCTCCAGAAAGAATTGGCATATTTACGGTTGCAAAAAAGGTAAATAAGGGTTTCCCCCTCTTTTTTACAAAAGGTGCAAACATTGGAATCCAACGTATAAATTTTACATAAATACGAATCAGTACCAAGAACTCTGTGGTTTAATCTAAACTGATACCATCTAAGCTTAGAGTCCACCGTACATGTAAATGGAACACTAAAGACCTGAAACCAAACACCCAAGTCATAGTGGAATTCAGGTTGCCTTTCCCATTTGTCCACAAACTTTCTAGCTACAGTTTTTACAGAGAGGTCCTTTTCTTGCCAAATTGCGAAAAAGCCAAAAAGAATGCCTTTTTCGCAAAAACGCGAAAAAGCCAAAAAACAGAACAAAAAGAATGCCTTTTTCGAAATTGCGAAAAAGCAAAAAAAAAAAAAAAAAAAAAAACCAAACCAAACAAAACAAAAAAAAAAAAAAAAAAAAAAAAAAAAAA